ACCTGCTGCAGTGAGGATTCCCTTGCTATCTCTTTTTTTTTATAGGCGGGGAGGCTAAGACACAAAACGGGAGCCAACTTGGCAAAGACCACATGCTGGGCTGTGTGGTCCACACAGGAGCCAGGTCCTGACTGCCCCAGGAATGGGGAGGCTCCAGCATGAGGCTGTGGGACAGGTGCCCAGGGAGGAGGGGGCAGCATCTCCACCCGGGAGCCCACCCCCGTGCTCTGCTGCCCCCATCCATCTCTGAGCCAAGCCTGCTTCCCCCAGGGAGAACCCAGCCCTGGAGGCCCCTCTGTGGACAGCACCAAGGGAGGGCTGCAGGAGCCCTAGCCAGGGATGGTTTCTGAGGCCCATGCTGAGGGGCTTCTGAAGCCTCTGGGATGACCTACAAAAATAAGTACATTTCTCTGGGGAGAGGGTTCATGGTAATCCTCAGATTCAAAAAGGAGTCTATGATGCAAAAACTGGTAGGATTCACTGTCATGGGAATGGGCTTGTGTGTGTGTGTGCGTGTGCGTGCGTGTGCGTGTGCGTGAAGGAACAGGGGCCGGAGGTGGCGCCGGGGCAGTGACTGAGTGGGCTCCATGCTCACCGAAGTCGCTGGAGCACATCTGCTCCATGAGGCCATCAGCGCTGTGCTCCATCTCACACTGGGCGCAGATCTTGGTCACTGAAGAGAGAAGCAGGGGGTGAGGGATCAGAGTCTGAAGAGCCACTTAGGGTACAGGCTCCCCCACTGACCAGCCACCTCCCCCTGCCAAGCCTTCATGTCCTCATCAGAAGAACAAAATGATGGTAATGATCACTCTCATTGAGGGGCCATCAAGTTCAGAAGAGACGAGGTTGTGCAGGGACAAAACTGACCAGGTGGGCACATTGCCCCATGACCCTGGCAGCTGCAGCTGTGATGTGCACCATCTTCTTCTAAATTTTGTCTCATTTAATCCTCAGCCTATGAAGTAGGTATTATTCTTCCCATTTTAAAGAGAAGGAAACTGAGGTCCAGAATGACTACCTAAATCTGCAAAGATAATGAGAACTTAGCTTAGAACTAAGGATTTGTGACTCCCAGGCTAGTGCTGGGGTGGGGGTGTTTGCAGGGTCTTTCTAGAAACCCAGACTCCAGGCAGGTGGGTCAATGAGTGATGCTGGCAGGGCAGGGACTATGGGATTGAGGGGGCACTGAAGAGCCTCTAAAGTGGGCAGCTTAACATTGCTAGAACTTCTGATTTTTCAAGGAAAGCCAAAACTCTTACTTTTTATGTGAAATATTCTGTTTCATCTGTTGTCCACACAAACAGTTCAGGCTGCCTCTGATCCTCAGGCTACCCCACAGCAGCTGACCTTGCTCTACAACTCTGCCTCCTGGTGGGCGCCCCAGCAAGGTAGAGAGAGGAGGGCTCAAAGAGGGTGGGAGTGTGAAAGCAGGGCCAGGTGGGATTCCAAGACTGAGATTTCCCTGCCTTCCAGGCTGTTAATGTTTGGGCTCCAAGAAAACCAGGAGAAAGGAGCCACGCCGGGATCCCTGCTGGGGGCTACGCTGTCTCTGCTTGAGCTGGGTCTCTCTCCCCTGCCTTCCGGTCCCATTTCCAACCTGAGAATATGGTTTCCCTTCTCTGAACTCCCCAGTCACAGGACCCCCACCCAAGTTCGACTCTCAGGGACTGCGTGGGTGAGGTTAGCCTTGAGGAGTGGGTGCGCTGTGGTGGGGTACCGTTGCTTTTAGGGGGCCAGGTCAATAGAAAAGGCAGGAGCAGTGTTGCCCCTTGGGAGAGTCGCAGCATCAGGGGCTCCCTAGACTGTCGGATTAGCTGCTCAGGCAAAGCTTTCCTGCTTGGTGCCACCGTTTATCCTCCTGTCTGGTGCCCAGCCTGGGCTTCCTCTGCCTGGAAGGAGTTTGGCAGACAGCGGAGGAAGGGGGAAGGGGGCGCTGAGACCAGAGAGGACTTAGGGGTAATGGGATGGGGTGGGGGTGGGAGGCGGCACTTAGGATCTCATTAGTTTCAGGAACCTGGGATTGCTTGCTATTTGCAGATGGGGAAACCAAGGCTCAACGTTAAGCAACTTGCCTAAGGGCTTGTTAGGGGCACAGCCTGGCAATCTGCTCTTTCTTCTACACTGAGCTTTACCCAAAGGTCTCCCAGCCTAGGGGACTGGGAAAGAAAGAGGGAGAATTTCGGGTTCCCAGGCACAGAAAATGGGGGCAGGGTGGAAACCATAGCCCAGAGTGGGCTTGGCCCCTAGTCTTTGGCTATATCCCTTCCTTCCACCCTCCTCTTCTCCCAAAGTCTCAACACTGGGTGGGGTGATGCTTGTCTTGGTGCTCGGGGTCCAGGGCTGTGGAGGAGTTGAAAGGCATTGTTTAGCAACCCTGGGCATTCGTAGGCTGAGAAAGGCAATAAGGCATTTATCTGAGGCCTCAGGATGGGGGTATAGCGTTGCCCACCCCCGTCCCTTCATCCCCCCCATCCCGCCCCCGTGCTCCCCTTCCCCCGCGCCCAAGGATTCCAGAAGCTGGGGAAGGTGGGAGCTGTGAGAGAAGTGGGGTGGGAGGCATTTCAGGAACGGAGTTGGAATAGGGGAGAATCAGTGGGAATGTCCAGAGTTGCAGGGAGGCACTACTCTGGCAGTCCATGGAGAGGTGGGAAGGCTGGAAGGCTTCGGGGGACAATTCCCCGGGCACGCAGGGCTGAGCAGACTGTGTGTGTGTGTGTCTCTGTGTGTGTGTGTGTGTGTGTGTGTGTGTGTATGCGTATGCGCGTGTCTAGAGCGGGTGGGGTTCTTGCAGAGCTATGCTAAGGGGTTAGGGGAGCAGCATCCGTCTGGGGCCCAGCTCACGGGCACCCAGGGCCGTGAAGCGCGCGTGGGGCGGCGCCGGCGCTACCTGGAGGTGCGGTGGCGGGCAGGTGCCCGAACTGCACAGCGATGCAGAGGTCGTTGTCCAGAGGGAACTTGTGGCAGTGCAGCATCTCGGGCCAGGGGAAGCCGTAGGCCTCCATGAGCGGCGCGCAGCCGGCACGCACGGCCTCGCACAGCGAGCGGCACGGGTAGATGGGCCGGTCGAGGCAACGGGCGCGAAGAGCGAGCAGAGGAAGACCTGCGTGTCCGAGTGGCAGCGCTT